CATATGCAACTTTCAAGTCGTTCAGCTTGTTCACGATCACCATCACCAACAGTAAAGCTCGCAGCATACCTGAGAATGTCAGGTCTCTTCATAGCGACATGTTTAGCAGATGTCCACACGTGAAACAATGTCGAATCACGAACGAACAAATGGTCAATGGCAAAGGCATGACGAGTCTCCGAGCATTCACCTTCATCCTTTGCGTATGTTGCAAGAACATGGTCAGCAACTCGTACTAGCAGATGACACACCTGACATTCGTGAGTCTTGTGATCAGCCGATCCGTTAAGACTCTTTGCAACGTGAAACCATCTCTCGTAAAGGGAATTCATTTCCTAGAATGTGAAGACACGAGGCAACTGATCAATACTGTATCGGGTGAAGGAATGACTCGACTGCATGTCAAGCATGCATATTTATACAAGTCAGAATGGGGTGGGTTGAAAATGCAAAGTTGACAACCAATCACCATCAAGCCCGCCAAAAACAGATGATGTAACCTTGACATGATTGATCTTGTCATGAATGACGCATTCATTGATGGTGTTCACATGAGATCACCCTGGCTCATCTTTCCCAATTCCATTCTTTTCACATCCTGCAACCCATTCTCCACTAGTAGTAGCAGTGGGGATACTAGAGTCCGAAGAGGCAAGGCAGCACTCTTCCGTGGACGGACTACTCGACACAACACCACCCATACTTGTTCTTTAGAAGTTTTTTTTTTTTTTTTTTTTTAATGAGTATCAGGAGGTATTGACGTAGAAAGTAGTATAGGATAGTATAGGATAGAATAAGAATGAATGATCAGCTGTGTGATAAAGAAGGCAGTTCATTAAAGACTTATTGGAAGGTCTCTACCAGCTGATCGTCTTGTTGGACGACGACACTGCATAATGATGTGAAGCTCTCAGTCAGCTGTTTCAGCTCCGTGATAGAAAGTGCCATGTGTGCGTCCAGAGCACGATGAAAACATCTGGGTTCCACGTTGATGCAGATGATTGGAGCAACAGCAAGACGTACCTTCATCACTTGCTCGTCAGTGTCTAGGGAGACTGCCCCGGGGTAGATGAATACATCTTGTTCCACATCCAGTTCAAACGAGCTGGTCGGGACTAGCTTGTTTTCACCGTTGATGTACACCCGACATTGACCGTCGGACAAACGTGATGTATAGAAGTTGGTTATGATCTTCTCCACACGTCCACTTCGGAGAGTGTCACGGAGCGATGGACAAGTCTTGATCAAGTTCGTAATGATGAACTCAGTGGACTCGTTCAGTTCGATGTAAACTTGTCCTTGAGCATCTTTGCGAGCTGTTGCCGTACTACCACAGGCTGGCAGAGCTCCCGAAGGGAAGTACATCTTATATCCAGGCTTGTAGAAGGATTTACCAGATAACTTGTAGGGCAGCTGCATGTCCTCCTGAAACCCATCCACCACAATCTCTTTGTGGAGCTTGGTAGGAGCAGGTGATGCATAGTGACGCTTAGCCGGTACTGGCTTCGAAGAGAGCACAACTCGAGGAGGGTCAGCAGGAAGAGCGGAATTCTTCTTCATCCTTCGCTCGTATAGGGAAGCCATCTTCTAGGAAGTGAAGTCAGGACAACTCGTCAGCACTGTATTCGATGAACGAATGACTCAACTGCAGACAATCATTCGTATTTATACGAGCCAGAGAGGTATGTGGATTGAAATGAGAAGATATGTGTCAACCAATCAAGCCCGCCAAAAACATTTCACCAATCAGCATCAAGCCCGCCAAAAACATTTGATCAATCAGCATCGTGCCCGCCAAAATCATATCTCATTATAAAGATTCCTTACATGATACCGCCACCTTGGTGAATTGATACAGTATGGAAAGAAGATCACAGTCAAACGTGTGCATGTTCTGGATCACGTGATCAAGTGAATAGATTTCCCAGCAATAAGCATCAATCAATGATGTCATAAGAGATATATCAGATTGAGATAAAAGCAGCAAATTCGAACGCAACGTGGACAATTGCAATGAAGACACCATCCTAGTCGACTCCATGAGATGCAGTACGTATAGGAGTGGAAAATGCTGAGGAAGAGGTTTCATGATTCGACTGAACCTCAACCAGGCTACATTGCTATGAGGTAAGTAGGAATACAGTTTACGTAATGCATCCACATTCGTATCGTATACTATACAGGATAATGCTATAGCATAATTTATACTCTTGTACAAACAGGACTTCTTCATCGCACGTATCTGCTCTCGAAGAGGGTGTACACGAAGCTGATCGGATAAGAGTTCAGTTTTCGAAAGAAAATGCAAAAGATGACGATCCACACCACATAACCGCTCATGCGCAGCGTAAGGCTTCTTCATCAAACTACATCTCTGATGCACATCAACTTCAGGTAAGTAAACCACATCCATGACAAGTCCACAAGAAGAACATACGTATCTTCCTTCATGAACAACATGATCAAGATGATGACACTGCTTTTCCTTCCCTTCTTGCTCTTCTTCTTCTTCTCCTCCTTCTTGTTCTTCTTCTTCTTCTTGTTCTTCTTCTTCTTCACGAAGTCTCTTTTCACGTACATAGGCACGTAAGATCTCTAATTCAGAATCCATCTTCACCCCACACCATCATCTTCATAGTGAAACATTATCCATCAATATATCTACTTTTATACCCACTCCTATCCGGGGATAATAGCAAAATACTCCTGAAAAAATAAATAAAAAATGAACAGAATAAAGATTAACAATGACGATAAGTGTGCCTTATTCAACCCAAAGGTCAAAGGTCAAACCCTGGGGGGGGGGGGGGGGGAGTCCCGGGGTCAGACTAAGCACGACCGACACAGTGTGCCTTATTTGGCCCAAAGGTCAAAGCAATAGAAGAAAGGCATTCACATCTCAATCTGATATCATAGTCGAAAGATTCCAAACCCGAACAAAAAAGACTCACCATGACGGGGGCGTCTTTCCGCTTTCGAAACACATCGTGTTCTCCAAGGTCGTCACCTCCCCGTGGCGTGACCCCTTGGTCTTGTTTGAGACGTCTAGACGTAGCCTTGTTTACAAAGGTCATCGCGGCGTGAACTTTGACCTCGAGGTGAAGTAGTCTCAACCTGCAGTTTCATTATCGACTCCTTCTTGCAGTGTGAAGAAGCTAAAATGGCGTGGACATTTTCTGAGACGTGCAGAGCAGAGAAATGGTATTTATTTTCATGCGATAATGAAGAGTTCTCAATCCGTCGCCTCAGTGCTAGCAAGACAACCAGGGATCTTGACCCGATGATAGCACATCCCAGAAGATTCGATATGTCACCACTCACTGCTGCTGAGTATATTATCTGCAGGGTCACCAGTCTGATCTTGAATGTGAAGAATAGGAAACAGCACCTTCCTAAAATCGTCATCGGTGGTGTGGAGGACTACGGAACTATTAGTGAGACTGATGATGGTGACATACTGCGAAGGTGGACTGATGGTAGACACTCATTCTACAAGCTTAGTGACATGCGTGACGAACCGTGCTCTCAACACATCATCGACCTCTTCGCTGATGCAACCTATTTGGATTCCAGCGACGTAATGCAACTTGTCAAGGAGGTGAACGAAAAATGAAGTCTCTCGAGTTGATCGTGTGCGTGTACGACGTAGTACCAAGGCCGTTCAACTCCGTGCCGTTGCAACAAGAGTAACGCGGATTCGTGTGCGAGTTGGTACGATCGACATCGACGACGATGGATTCATCTCCAAATTACCCGAGTCGACTGTTGACACGATGGCGGTGCAAAGGAGGTCGTCGACTGACAGTTCCATTGCTGACTGGGTGGAACCATTGGTGCACATCAGAGCGTCCGACAACTCCACCTCGTACTGCGTGTCACGGAAGAGATCATGGGTGAATCCATCCTCACACGTATTCGAAGAGTAAACTTTGTGGTCTCTCATCCAATACCAGCTTGATGAAATCAGGACAACAAGAACTGAATTGTACTACCTTTCTCCTCCACTCCATTGCGATATTCACTGTTCGTTCCATTATTCTTTGTAATGACATGTATCGTATCTATCAAGAACTGACCTTTCTGACGTGTGTGCGAGCAGGACCATTTTTGAAAAATTGCATGGGGAGGTGGGGTAGGTCACGGAAAAAACTTCATGATAAACACCATATTCAACATTCTACTTTTTATACCCACTCCCATCCGGGGCAAGGTGGCCCAAAAAAGTAAGATTCAAACCCACATGTGCACAACACATATTTTCAATAATACCCCATTTTTTTGAGGTAGGGGCACCCCCTGGCACATATTTTTATCCGCAAAAAAACCGGGCCAAAAATAATTTTCACCGCAAAAATGGGGTACTATTAGTACCCCATTTTTCAATAATACCCCATTTTTTGGGACCCGGGCGCCCCCTGGCCCAGAACCCGCTCGTACATTGCTACTGTTGGTGAAAAAAGCGCCTGGCTGAGCGGCGGTAAATACACACCTGCACACACAACGCTCTCTACGCTAGCCCTTCGCAGATAACACAGATTTGGTATTCTGGAAAGCTTGGAAACCCCCTCGATAGGCGAAAGCCTTTGGGGAATCCTTTTGCCGGCTTTATTTGTAATTTTGACATTTTTGGTTGTTTAGAAACAATAAAAATTACAAATTACAAATAAAGCCGGCAGAACAATTGGCAGAAGTGGACACTTTTTCTGGTATGTTTCATGCATATTTGACATGTGGATAGAGAAACGGAACTGAAGTCAAGGAAGTGCCTGCTATAATAAGGTTTGTACCGCTCTGCCAATTTGCCTGCTTCCACCAGAATCTGCCAAGCATTATCCGCCAAGGTCTACGCTAAGCTGCAAAGTTCCGCCCATCACCACCACCATTTTCACTTGGCACCTGGTTGATGAATGACTTTAGATTTGGTATACATGTAGCTGACTGGACTATCAGTAGGGCACTCGTGGAAAAAAAGGCCAATACCACTAATACTTAGAACTCACTGGGCGAGGACGGCGCTGCTTGCGCTGACAACGCACCCAGGGCGACCGCCAAACTGATGATGCTGACGCAAATAGGCATTGAGGCGGCGTGCCGTGCAGTGTATGATAACGAGGACACCCTGCTCTCCGCTCACACTCACCGGAGAACTATTCGTCTTCCAGTTTCACACAGTACTCAATGCTGCCCACGGGCAAAGCCTCCTGCCACCAAGACAAGACGGCGGGAAGAGATTGTTTTTGTCTGATGTTTCACGCTAATTCGATCAACAGGTTACGGACTGTCCTATACAGATACGAGTGTGCTATAAAACCCCGGCCCTGTGGACTGAGCGAGAGACGAATAATATCGAGGCTCGACGGAAGCTTGCTACAATCGTACACTTAGTTTCTCTCGTAATGGACTCAGGAAGAAGTAGGCCTTCCTAAAGATCTGTGCTAAACACACTTCTCCTTTGGACTAGTATACAGTGCTCTACCTGTGAATTAATTCAGCTGAGTACGGTCATCACCAAAATGATGCTGCTCTTCTCGTCACCGCGAACACATGCGTCCAGCAGCACGGGACACATTTTGTTAACCTTGTACATGCCATATAAGTGCACAGGAATGCGCCAGGCGCCTTTCCAGTTTCCACTCAGCACCACCTAGTACCTAGACGGGCTCTCCCAGTTGCGGTTCTGTCTGCGTATTCCACTCTTTGCGAGCCCTCGTGGCCCCTCAATGGACGGTGGACGAATCGCACATGGTAAAATGTGTAGGCATTGATGACTCAAACCTCTTCAGCGAAAGTGAAGCGTACAATGTCTCATAAAAATCAAGGACAACCGTATCTTAAAGCTATATACAGCATCAGTGCAAAAAAAAGGATGGACAAATATGGCACATAGCCACAAAGCCGTACTCGAAAAATAAGTCGGCAGAGGATGACGGGTACGGATATGTATTATACGCTATAGTAGTAACTACCGGCATTAAAACAGGCTGTGGCTGGATTCGTTCCTGGAACCGATTTCTCACCTGAAGTACCTTCGGGACAGCATGTGCCCCCACCTTCTACATGAGCACGACCCAAAACAGCGCGGTTGACTTCAGCGCCCTCCAAACCATAAAGCCCTATGTCCATAATAGTATACTGGACGTCCCCAAAACAGACCATCCCGTCAGCGCACACGCTCAATACAGGTCGACTCGTTTACACTCAAACTAAAAGATGGACACTCGATTTGTCAAAGACGAAGGTCCACCGCCACCAGTGCACTTGCGTCACACTATTTATTGGCTTTTACTGTTTTAGCAACGGACTCCCTAAGAGGCAACGTCACCCTACAACGCGTTAACGAGCAACTACTTTGAAATACCCTCATCTTTTTCCCACTCTTTCCCTCCTGGCTGCATTGTTATCGATGCCTGGTCATCGGCTATGATTCTGAGGATTTACTAGAGTGTGACGCAAGTGGCGGTGGACCTTCGTCTTGAAGATTTACACCATTGTTGTCGATGCCTGGTAGTAGGCTATGATTCCGAGACCTCTGATCGGAGGAGCATCGCCAACCACATCGCCACACCAGCCCTCCCTTCCCCCTCCCCTTGTCTCATTGTCCTCTTTTTTGATTGTTAGTACCTTTGAAAAAAACTCCGGTTCAGCCCAGGGAGTTGGTATTTTGACGACTCCCTGGTTCAGCCCTACAACAAACGAAAGCCACGCACGTGCATGGTAGCTCACTATACATTATATCGTACACCCTCGAATCATGTGAACGTGTATGCAAAACAGCAGCTGGCGGTATTTGTTTTTTTTTACAATGATCAGAGCTCACAGGCAAGGTCAAAAACTGCATAGTGGGAGCATAGTGATGGTAAGGCTTTTTGCCCTCTTTCAAGAGTCCTATTTGTTTGTTTCTTTGGGACAATCATGCCCAATGTTGTGGTGACGATGGAAAGGAAGAAAGCTCAGAATGGAGAACAGATAAAAAAAAACTTGTAACCTGGATAAGTGGACTGTTCATCAACCCCCACACTAGGCTGTACAAGGCTGAATGCTCTTGCTTGCCCTTGTCTGGATATGTGGGGTAAAGAAACTAGTGAGCCTAGAGATCTTTCGGAATAGGGACCTAGCATTAGCCATAACAGTAAACTATTGCTTTCAATGTTTCATTAGACGCTGGGATGTGGTGGAGCAGGACTTTACAGGGGTGGGATTGGACAAAACTTATCAGCAATGAATGCTGATCTTAAGCCCTCCTCATTCACTACGTTGTCTCTCACAATTCGTCGCCACTCTGTTGAATATACAGGTGGCATAAAGGGAGGCAAATACTGCAAGCAATAGACAGGTTGCATGCATGGCACACATCGGGCGGAGTGAAGTTCGTGAGTGATGTGTGCACAGCTACATGTACATGGTGGCGGCATGCCAGAAAAAATGAAAGTTGCGATTGAAGTGTAGAGCGCAGCAGCACGGGTAAAGGCTTAAGGCCTAGTCTTGCATCAACGAAATAAGTTTAAAACACCTGCAAGGTACTTTGCCAGTCCTAGAACTTGACATCATTATACATAGAACCGACTAATAAACAAGGGGAAAGCTGGATACAAAGCAGGTACATTCCAAACGCATAGAAATCATTAATATTTTCAAAATACTAGTTATCAACCTCAAGAGATAAAAAAATAAAATAAAAACACAGCTTGTAGGTATATGGGGCGAATCGCGAAACGTGAACATTTCATAAGAAGAAATGAGGACCAAGGAACTGCAAGTTATCCTACATGTATATTATCCACTAACACCACCAGTTACTAAACAATCAGCTCATGCGATAACATTGCACCACACTGACCGACGGTACTGGCGTTCTACAACTAATTGGCAATCAGCTCTAGCACATCGTAGATGCGCACTCCAACAGCCTTCCACCTTGGAAGGTTCTACGTTATAATTATAAGCATTATGATAACAGAGGAGGGGAAGGTGAGCACCACCCAGACGAGCACGAGCTGAAAGTCTCAGCTGTGAAGGTCATTAGCGGATGTACATGTACGTCAAAGACGATACGGGCGAGACCATCAGACACAACGGTTGATTAAATTGGCCTGAAGAAGCGAGAAGAATTGTTTTGATAGGGTTCGATGGAGACCCTATCGGTCCACAGTCGTGCGCTCTGCTCACTGCGTCAACACGTGATGAACGTCACGGTCAAAGTCTTGAATGCACCCATACTCCTTCTTGCCACGCCCTATTCCCGCGGAATCCCAGATCAGAGGGGCAACGTACTCTGCATCGTCCGGCAGTGGGAACTGACGCTCACGATACGACGCGGCCGGTAGAAAGTGATACGCGATGCCGGCTCTGGGCTGGTCGGTGGCGTTGCCGCGTGTGCAGTGCGGTGTCAGGTAGTTGAAGAAGATCACACCGCCAGCCTGGACCTCCAGACTCACGGCAATCGTCTCGTCCACACTGTCCCGGCACGTGATGTGATGATCACTGTTACCATCGCGATGGTGCGGCAGACCACCTTGCTTCCAGGCTGCTGGAATTACCTGGGAGGGGGCAAAGAATGACAAATAGCATGCATAAAAATTGGCTTACCATCCGAGTTCATTGACAAAATATCAGTGATCTATGGATCAGTGGTGACGGATTTCAGTTGTACCAATAAGTCTCCCCTGATATTCGTACAATCTCCTTCAGTTCCCGTGAATTGCACTGCAGAAAGGGTTTCAGAAAACACTGAGCTTTTTGTTGTTGTTCTTGTTGCTCCATGTAGAAGATGGTGAAGTTTGGGCCCGTCTATTACTACGGGCACTTTGCAACAGAATCATTGCTGCAAGTGAGATTCCGCAGTGAGCCTTGTTCGAATAATATCATTGATGGGAAAGGTCCTATATGTACATGTACAGTATAATCTGGTTTAAGCGACCACCCCACCGTGCAAGCAAAACGGCGGTCGTTAAAGCCAGGTGGTCTTTAGAACCAAGTCTCACAGTGGCTGTGTAGAACTGTCGGTGCATGGAAAAACGGCCGTTAAGAGCAGGTGGTCGCTTACACCAGGTTTTACTGTAGTTGGTGATTGCAAGCAATATCAGTACGATAATCTAATATTCACTGGGTTGAGGGAAAGAAGCAAACGGGAAAAGTCTGAAGAAAGAATTGACAATCACCACCAGGACTCGATAATGTATAAATTTATACTTTAGGTGCCAAATATGTCCGTTCGCTTCATCCTCTCCCTTGCGTATTATCAGTATACCTTGCAGCTAAATGACAATACCACTGTACTTTTTGGTACTGTTCCTAGTTCATTCAGAGAGCACAGCAGTTGTGTGCCGGCTCCAGCGGAATTACAGTCAGACCTCGTTTATCCGGTCCTCTTTTATCCGGATCCCTCACCATTCGGAAGAAAATCGTTGGTTACCGATTTACAGCATAATGCCATGCATACATACAGTATGTGTGTTCGATTATCCGGTTCCCTCGCCTATCCGGGTATTTTGTGGAAAACGGATGTGTGCGGTTATGCGAGGTCTGACTGTATCAGATTCTAGCAAATCGTAAAGAGCTCTTCAAGTAAGATAATATAGAGGTAAAACCCCACTTCCAGAGCGCCGTTCTCCTTGGTAGCATCATGCACCGCGGTCCACATCGCTGTAGCGTGTTGACAATCCTTCACCTACATACAACGGCAGTACAATGCAAAAACAAGAAAAGAGAGACAGAAATCACCGACCAAACGCACAGCTATGCAGGACACAACCATAAACGTCACCTGACTTCATCACTATGATGTCATCATGATGTCATCGAGTCTCATGTCAATGCACTCCATTGTAAAGGCTTCACTTTTTCTAGTAGCATCCATAATCACTCTACAGTCGTACTACCAGTCGTGCATCTTACTTCAAATAATAAGACGTGTCCCTATGGGGAAAGGGAACGTATACTTATCAGTATATTGTTGTAGTATTAGATATACTTCTTTAAACAAAGTATATGCTAGGTGCATTCCAATGTGTGCTGGTACACAGTGGTATTCACATCTTTGTCAGGTGACTAAATTTGTGTAGAAAATGATCATGGCAACTAGGCAGTGGAGCCAACATGGCTGACATATCATGTGTCCAATATAATTATACTAGGGTTGAGTAGAGTTGGATCCAACAAAGCTGTCCTACACGGCTATGAGATACTTGTACAACTGTTCTACATTGTGTCCTGGGTCCTTGCTGCAAATAGTGCTCCATGGTAAAACGTTTTGGTTTTTATTGTGTGCAATTGTGTGCTACTACTCTTTATGCCAGTGTATTTTTAATGAGAAGAGCGTAGGCGAAACAGCTGTCAGAAGGAATAATAAGAATAATCCTCATCATAAATAACAAGACTTGAAGTGCCCGTAACCCCTTCGTTGTCTGGAATTTGTGGTGTGTGTGATGGCTACTGAGGGTAGCAACCTGTCGACTGAGAGCGCGTAGACTATTTGAGGAGGAAAGGAGGAGAGATTGTTGCATTATTCAACAGCCGAATGGCACAGTTCACAATTCCACCCTCATTGACTTCGGAAAATTCTACCCATGTATTCAAGAAAAAGCTGCGCAAATATTCCTTTTAATAAAAGTATCCAGGTCTACTCGCTGGCATGCTCCTACCCTGTTCATCGTAGTCCCCCGCCCCTTTCACAATCTGTACTCTCCTGTACTATCATCCTTCAAAGCGACAGACCCCACGATAGGTGGTCAGCCTTTGGGTCATCCTAATAAAGTTACATATTGTTCATAGCATTATTCCACAATTACAATGACATAATGCCAATAAACATGTGACGCAGGCGATTTTAACCAGCCGTGGTTGGAAAACGGAGAACAGGAAGGGGGAAAACAAGAAAAGAATGGAAAAGGGAACGTACCTTGAAATAGGCATTATCCTGGTGCCAGCTAGTGCCAATGCCGTGATGGGCAGGCTTCCAGAACACCTGGCTCAAGTAGCACAACAGCGCATTGCTGTTCTCCGCGTCCGGCAACAGGAGGTCGGCGAGGGTGGCCGCCACCTTGGGTGAGAATGGCAGCGAACGGAACAGGTCGGCCTCGGGCGACAGAGGACAGAGCTGTAAGTTCTTGGGCACCTCCGTGTGTGTCTTGCCATCCCCTGCATTGAGCCACAATGGGAGTAAACAGTAAACGAGTAAACGTGGCATGGAGGAAGGATAAGAAACGTGCTCTGTTGCCAACCAATTTTCGTTTTGTACTATTGTCATGGCTGGTTATCGCCCTCATCTCACGGGTTGCTCCCCGTATTAGCATGGCTGTGCATATGCTATGAGATCGAGGTGATTAAATAAATAAATAACCCGACCTCCACACACAAAACCCACTGCAGTCCTGTCGGCCGTGGGAGCCATGAAGGGGTGGGGATGGGGGGGGGGGAGGAGGGCAGCCTCATGGGCTAGACTGTTCGTATTGTCATGTACCAAAGTCTACACGCAGTTGAGACATCGATCATACATTGGTTTGCTGTGCTTGGTGAAATTCTAGGCTGTTCATTCGCCGACTCTCCGCTCTTCGGCACTCGACAGTTCTGTATGCAACAGCAATACTGGCAAGCTATCTCTTATCGGCGATGGTGCCATTGTGAGAAAAAAATAGAATTCAAAAGCTGAGTGCCGCTGCTGTACTGTTCACTGTGGGAGTCTATCAGTAGGACATGACTCACACAAACGCAGCAGTGCCTAGTCCAGGGCAAGGTCAACAGGGTCAGTGACCAGCTTGAGAGGGTGTGTTGATCCGGTTCAAATGAAATTCATCAGGCTCTCACTGGCCTGGCTAGGACACGGTCCCTCTGGCCTACACCCGTGTTCATTTTTCTAATCCAAATCAGGTTGATTATGCCGGGTGGGAAGATGGTGCCAGGCACATCAGTTGTACTTGGCTGATCCTGGTCCCCCCCCCCCCCTCTCCTCACCAGACATTATTGGGCTGAATGACGAGTGCTAAACGTGCGGCGTACACTCCGAAACATGCGGTAAATTCATTCCCTCAGCTTCTAAATTGTTTTGTATGAAAGTACACATGCCTACATAGAATGGAAAGAAGAAGAAGAAGAAGAAGACCAACAACAGCAAGAGAACATAGGGCTTTCCCAATCGACTCCCCCGCTTTAATTACTGATCATGAAACTGCATTTCCGCATGTTCATCTTTAAAACATGAATCATAACTGTCTAACCAAGACGTATCTTACCCGCTGTGGCAACATTAGCCAACCGGCCAGCCGACTGTAGGTGCTCAAGCTGCTTCCGTATGGCTGTGAGCTCAGTAGCATCCCAGAACTCATCCAGGACGAGATAGCCTCGGTCAAGGAAGAAGGAGATCTGAAACACGCCGGAATGCAAGTCGTAGTCGAGCCAATCGAGACGTACAGTGAGTCAGTCAAATTTGCGCCTTGCACCATTTCGTAGGCCTGCGTTCGCAGGTCTAAGGCTGCGCAATGCCCAGGCCGTACTTTTTGTGACTCAACAAGATCTCCCTGAGCAGCACTGTGCTTCTTCAGAGTACAAAGAATTCCAGCTTAAGATTTCATTTCTCCTACAACTTACTTTGCCAGTAGACTTCTACCATGCGAGAGCGATCTCCAAGAGCAACTGGATCTTGCACTGTGCTAATTATGTTGGCCTCTCTACCAAGAGTACAGTCATAAGCTCAGAGGGAATTTACATATGAATGGTGTTGCCTGACGCTTAGATTCGAACCAGGGTCAGGGAGTAGTATGTTTACGACTCCCTGCATACATGTAGAACAGCGAGTGAGTTCATCAAGATTTGGTACTGCGGGGGCTAAAATTAATAAATCACCCGCTGAGCCTAGTCTGAGGTTTGACTCGGGGAGTCGTGAAAGCGAGAAAGCGACTGGCCGGGATGCATGAAAAGTTCTAGAATCTCACTGTTCACCTCAAACAATATTCAGAAAGTGTACCTGGTCTTGCGTTACCCTGGAGTGCTTCTCTCGCTCCGAACGCGCCTTCTCCGTTTCACCAGGTCGCTCGTGTGTGCTGAATGAGCGGTGTGCGACAGTACAGTTGGTGGTCACACTCCGTGCAGCACATCGTGTTGTGGAGTGAGAGGAGAGGGACAGGGTTCCAGTTCGGGAGAACGCACTGCTTCCTCGCAGGCAAGCAGACAGGGGCCACTTCGACGTAGTTCGAATTGGACTTCGCCAAACGAAGGCACTGATTAGCGACATACTCCTTGTTTTGACCAAGCCACAGATAGGCTAGCCACAGGCCGAATCTGCCCCTCTTCCAGATGGCTCACTCCTTCTAGACCTAAGTAAGTAACAGTTATCCAGCTGGTAATCGTTTTCCCAACAAAGTCAGTGTCGCCGCGCTTCAGAAGTCTTGACAGCGAGAATTATTGTGATGCCTTTCGTTTGGAAATTTCCATTCATCAGATCCGTGCATACATATGTATACCCTGCAGCATGCATTGCCGAGACGTCATGTGCCTTTCCACGTGGTCCGCGTCGAAGAAGATGACACTTGACAGCATGCATACCAGGAGTTCCTAACAAAAACAAGTGAGTAATACCGGTAATGACATGGTTACAGGTAGAGTTCTTCACAGAGAATCTTGAAACTGACCGGCTTTCACGAGTCCCTGGTTTACCGGTTCTGGCCACAGATGTACGTGAATGTACAATCATACAGATGTATACATGTACATGTACATGTACATGTGTACAATCATACAGATGTGTACATGTACATGTACATGTACATGTACATGTCTACATGTATGTACATGTATAATGTATGTAAAGTCCCCTTTGCAGACAAAATGAACACAATGAATATTTTCCCAACTGTTCCATCCACAAAACTTCAACTCAAAGTTCTGAAAACAAAAAAAACAAAAAAAGGCAACACTCGCACTTACACACAGTTTCAGTGAGTTCGAGTAGTATTAAAGGGGAAGTTAAGGCAAAAATTAAAATTTCACCAGTTGTAGTCTTCGGGGTGCTGAGTCGAATGGTCGTTGTCCGAGGAAGCTGAGACACTCCCTTCCTACTTGAATCCCAATCGAACTCGCGCACTTCCACCGAAACTGGGTGACTGCGCCCTACTAGATGGGGATTTGTATGCAAAATGTCACTAAAAGCGCCATTTCGTTCTTATAAAAGCATGGATGACCGCGATTGGCCCATATGTTGTAGTCTTTTGGACGCTGAGTCGATTGGTTTTGGTCCGAAAAGGCTGCGAGGCAGCGTTCCTCCTTTATTCCCAATCGAACATGGTTGAACAAGCGGTCACGTGCTCCTGCGTACGCCAGTCACCTGGTCACCGTGCCTGCAGGGTACAACTTACTAGCCTGTTTGACCTTTTTTGGGTGCAGTCCTGTCACTGGAGTTGAACTCGAGTTGAACCTTGGTGTGAAAGTTGTCGCCTGCTGGCGTGGTAACCAGGTGATTTGGGCACCCAGGAGCACGTGACCGCTTTTTCAACCATGTTCGATTGGGAATAAAGGAGGAACGCTGCATCGCAGCCTTTTCGGACCAAAACCAGTCGACTCAGCGTCCAAAAGACTACAACATATGGGCCAATCGCGGTCATCCGTGCTTTTATAAGAACGAAATGGCGCTTTTAGTGACATTTTGCATACAAATCCCCATCTAGTAGGGCGCAGTCACCCAGTTTCGGTGGAAGTGCGCGAGTTCGATTGGGATTCAAGTAGGAAGGGAGCGTCTCAGCTTTCTCGGACCAAGACCATTCGACTCAGCACCCCGAAGACTACAACTGGTGAAATTTTAATTTTTGCCTTAACTTCCCCTTTAATCCAGTCAATAACGCTCATGCGGTACCCAGGCCTCTGCCACTGCTAGTGCAGTCACCCAACACGACTGATCACACATCACGGGGCTGTGTTCCGAAAAAATAAGCGGAACAAAATGGACGCAACAAAATGAATACAAAACAAGAAAACGATAAGCAACAAACGCACAGGAGGGAAACGAGAAATGGCAACTAATCTCGCGAGATGTGGGCTTCCGACACTGCCAGAGTGTTGGATACCTCATTACGAGCAGCCCGATGCCAGTACATGTACATGTACATGTTTGGTACCTTGTAGAGGTATCGCCCACCGCCAAGCCAGACGACTGGCTAAAAAGCCTTCCGCGTCGACGCAGGGCCACAATGCAGGACCGCAAGAGGGAGAATGCTATCATGCACCTGATGAAAGCCATCGCGTGAGAACCCCCCTCCGTGCTATCGTGATTATTCATGAGTCGAATTTCTGTGGCCAGGACAGTAATACATGTATACATGGGTGTGCATGCTGACATCTGCTAGTACGTCAACAGTCATTAGTTTTGGAGAAAATTATAACAAGCGCCATACCAATTTCCCGTTTGATATTAGAGTTATGTTTGGCCTGATGGTCGCGCAAGCATGAAACTCGGACTTGCAGCAAAATTTTGTTCCACCTTACCTGTAAAGTTAGGTAGAGAGTAAAGGCAGAGATTCGGATGTTGAGACTTGAAAGCCAGTCTTGAGTTATTCACACAGCCATTATTATACATGACATAGTACATACTTCAGTACATGTACAGGTTGTTAGATTGACAGCATGAAACAAGGTGGAGGACGCTGTGTTCGGAAACAGTGACCTTACTACTACCATCCACGGTTTATCTAATACCAGTATCGAACTAGTATTGGGTTATAACTTATATTATTATAATACCATTCATGTACATGTATGGCATGCATAGAGAGCAACATGCACCAACACACAGTAATAGTAATACCCATCCACACAATCATCAACTCGCACAGAAGGAAAGCGGAAGGTGGAATAAAAGTAGGATATTGTCAATGGAATAATTCGAAGCACACAGCCGCCGTTAAGTAAATAGTGTTAGAGCGTAAGAGACCTTTTTTCGGATATTAAAAATTTCAGATTGTGCAAGCAGTCATGAAGTACGCAGTGGCATGAACAAGCTTTGAAGTATGGGCAAACAGAAAAGACAAACAGGCATGACGGACGGACAAACGAACGGATGGAAGAACAGACAGACACGTGAACAGACGAAAGAACAGACAAACAGACAGACACCTTATAGAGCTAGGCAGACGAAAGCAGCACACCATGCCTGTGGGGCGATGGGTCAACAGCTCAAGCAGGTTGCTGATGCAACCTGGTTAGGTGAGCCTCTTGCGAGTATTGCAGCAACATTCATTGATGTTCAAAGAAACGTAAAGCTACATGGTACTTGACAACACCTAGAGTGTCAAATATTCTATGTTCAAGGGGAACATGAAGGGGGAACAAAAAGGAGCTAAACGGGCACGCCCTATTCACAAGCTCCGCTATATCTTCGGATGGGATATCACAAGAGAATGTAAGGAATATTTAGTAACACACCTAGGAATTTCATGGAGAGAAGTGTGTTGCATGGGTCATAGAGGATGGGAGTTATCGTGGAAAAAGTCGTAAATACAGAGGCCAGTCAAGTCATGACTAAATAGACAGCCAAGTTGTTTCGAATCATAGTTTTTCTTTCTGGACACGTCACAGCGCCATAAAAGCAAGTAGGAATGATGCCGGGAGCACTAGGCTTGGCATAAATCGGCCTGCTGCTGACCTGAATTGTTCCGGTGTGCCATGGTCCAATGGAACACTAGTCGGGCCTTCCGTCTGCTGGAATTCAGGCGACGTTGCAGTGCCACCAGCCGGATGCCGTGTAGGTGGACTGCCTGTATGGGCTGTGGATGCTGCGTTTGTCTCCCTATGCCGGGTAGCCGATGCTGTTGCCTGAGCAGTTGTCTCCGCCCGCCAGCTAGCTGATGTTGCTGGCTCGGAAGTTTCCGATGGCTCAGCAGTTGTCGATGGCTGCTGTGCAGTGGTTGATGGATCTGTAGAAGAGAAAGCAGGCCAGTGCAGACATCAAAATCTGAGTAATTGTTACCTCTGATTCTGTATTAAAGACATCATTTTCTCGATATCAGCCCTGGTTGACAAGTGACCATAGGTGTAAGCAGACTTTTATAACGTGTAGCAAAGTCCTATGATCACTTCACCCTACGATGATCTGTTATTGTTGCCTTGGCCTGCACTGGTGTGCTTGAGGGAAACCGGCAGCAGAATCGCCGGATGGGTACAGCAGTGTTGGGCGCACTGCGACATCTGCACCATGACTCAACTATGGATACACCGCAGTGCAGGACAAGGTTATCAGAACAGGCTTAGGTATGGTGCAGTTGTCACCCGAAAAAAGAACATTTACGGTGCGGTTTTAGTATTCTCAAATGGATATTTATAGAGAGGCTACTCTGGACACTATTTTTGATGTGATGCGAAAGTTCTGCTCGCCTTTTTTTGGCTCGCTCATTGCAAATCAACGCGAGAGACCTGCATCTCACATCGAGATTTGACATATTACGCCAATTGATGACGCATTCAACCTGAAATTTGTGCGTCACGTCAAACCAATACATGCAGCTTAACTTCTCTATTGATTGCAGTTCAACACGAGGTCATGAGCACTTACCCGGTGGACTCCTCACGCAGACGACCGGAGAGGTTTGCTGACAGGGTCGCAGCGTGACCACCTTGTTCGACGCTCTCCAGTATGCACAGCGGGTGCCCGCAAAGGATGACGTTTCCTGCGTGGCGGTGTACACTTCTATCTGGCCCAAATCGCGGCTGACTAGCGACTGCAAGCTCAGCAGCTGCTGCATGCAGTTAATGTCTGACTGGGTCGTGTCAGCAAGCTGGCTACCAGTATATAGACGTTTACAAGTGTCTGCAGCGTGTTGCCTTGAAAACGCAATCGGATGGTAGATATACTCCTTGTTGTTGCATGCTACTGAGACATCTATTTGTGGCGTGGCTGAGCATTTACAAACAGCAGAAAGGTTAGAAATAATTAATTAAAAAATTATTAAATATTTCTCCTAACCAAATCGTCATTCTCAACACAGCTTTGTGGCCAGTGTGAAAGCGACCGTGCAAACTTAACACATATTTTTGGCTATGTTCGGCCTTGACCTTCGAGACGTCTAATTTGTTTGGGCTGGGGTTTTTTCCCAGTACAGTATGGCAGGGTATGTACACAGCAGCGGTGCTGGCAGAAAATTGAATGGGCCTGGAAAGTGCTTTTTACCTCACAGGGTGAAATTTGTACAATGTTTTTTTTTGCATTCCAACAGTAGGTCAACTCTCTTTTGCAATACATGTGCAGGCAACCTTGCAAAGAACAACCTTAGATATAACGACAACGTGCGCAAAAGGACACTCGGGGTCGATACTCGCACGAGTAACTCTAGATGGCATAAAAAGCTGATCCTGGCACTCACACCATATTTTCCCACACTAATGCCCAGTTCAAACTTTCTTCGAGGCAAACTATTGTTGGTTTAGGCACCTTGATGCTTGCGGCCTAAATATGAAACAAGTCCCAATGCTGTAGACAGCAAGCTGTTTCGGCCATAAAGGCCTCATCAGTACAGCTACGAGCTAAATAGGCCGAGCTACCAGCCATGGTGCAAAGGAGGCACCACAGACATTTAAAAGATAGCTCGTCGCTCCAGGGCCGGAGTGCTCTAACTACGAAAAGCAGCTGGCAATGCATTATGCAGCAGCACTAGAGCAGCCTGCCGAGAGTGCTCAACAAGACGAATTTCGAGGAGCACAATACCCGATTCTGTACTTGCTGGACTGTTGGTATGCTGGACTTGTAAGAACCAAGTTCTAAAATACGCAACATCAGAACAGCTTTTTTTTCTGCGGTGATAGCTAGCACATAGGCCAGTGTTTAGAGGAATGCTGCAGTTATGTGATGTCCATAAATCACTAAAGAATAATTATAAAGTATCTCACCTGTATATCGCTGGCAAATGTAGGGTCGGCGGGGTTCTCCAATACAGCTCGTCGTGCTGATGGTTCTTGCTCCGTTTGAGGCTACTGACACAGCCGCACACCTTCTATCAAGTATATTAAACTGCAGTAGTGACGACCGACTATTGTAGTCGGGTAGTGAGCGGAAACTGTCATCCAGAGAGGCGGTGATGCCGAAGTGTGCTTGCACGCCAGCCAACGCTGCCAGGTCAGTCAGGCAGGCTGCACCAACAGTGGTTGGATCAACGACGGCCAAATGTCCGCCAGCCTGTTGACAGTGCTTCTCAGATTCCGTCCACGTTTCTCTGGCGGTCACAGCGACAAGAAGGTCGACACCTCCCGAGCAGGTACGCCATGTACCACCACCTGCGAGCACAAGACCAATCGTCAACAAAAGGAAATGATTCATAGCTTCATTGCGGCAATCGGGACGCTACCCATCTTCAGGTCGGGTGTAAATGCGAGATCAATGATTTCCAGAATGCTCTCTCCGTAAATCATACGAACCCCATGGGGTGGGGGGGGGGGGGGGGGGGGGACCCACGCAGATACTGTACAGCTTCTAAAGAGACGGGAGGTGAGTAGACCAGACCCACCACAAAGTGCTCAAAGGCCGAAAATCAAATTCGCTGTATCAATGCTTCCCCGAAAATTCTTTTGAAAAATTCTTGATAAATAATTATAGTGTATGCTGTTCCCGATGGTGCATTAAATTATTTTAATATGCATAAAGTAGTGTTCTGTCTTTGCAACAGAGAGAAATTAAGCAGAGTGTGTACTTTGGGGGAGGGGGGGGGGGGTGGTGTTATACAGCTCTGACCACAGGAGGGATGCACCACACCCATTTTTTTGCTGCACGACAGCTGTCAACCTTACATCCCTAACATTCTCCCACGCTCCTTCTTTCAATATCTTCTTGCTACTGTAGCTATGAATGTAGAATACAAGAGTATTCTGATGTGTCGGTACCCATTTCAGATGCTGTGTAAATTCATACTAATTTGCCAACACAGCCAAAGCAAATCCCTTAGTCACACACCGAGTTTCCCTTAATTTTCTCTCATTTTTGTTATTTTCCCGATTTCGCCAATTTCGCCCAGTTTCTCTTTCTTTGGGGCAATTTTTGATTATTTTTGCGTATTTTCCGCAATTTCTTGGCAATATTTTTCTTTCTTTTTATTCATTTCTAACCCATTGCTTATTGAGGGACCAAAACCTGAGTTTTTCTTTATTGTCAGATCGCTCCTACATGTGTGATTCTGTGAAATGCAGGGCCGCATGTGCCCTTGTCACACCACAAAACAACCTTTTTACGAACACTTATGGTTCAGTGTCAATACCGGTAGTTTTTCGATCAAAGTCAAAAAGCCCCGGTATGCCGGTAGTGACCGTAGTTTCCCGGTATAATACCGGGAAAACCGGTATGGTTGGCAAGTATGGAAGTTACCAGACTCGCTTTGATAAAGAAAAGGGAGCAATAAGTTACCAGTCAGTACTACAGGGAGGAAAACTTCCTTCTGCCAGCGGAGAGGGCTCAACACAATATTGTGGAGCACTATTACACACAAAAAGGGCACAACTGAGGTTTACAGAGTTTGTGGCAAACAAACTATGCTTTATATTGGCCAAGTTCCACTGAACATGTCATAAGTCGCCTGATGATTTCATCCCGCAAGAAACTCTGAGTTGCGAGTTATGACTAAATATTTACTTGAGATATTTACTTGAGAAGGTCTTCCGATAAGGGCGCATGCTTTATTGGCTCAACACCTGAGTTTCCGCGAAAGGACCAATAAGTTGCGAGTTACGACTAAATGTTACGACTAAGTGTTTACTTGAATACTCTAATTTCACAAATTTTCAGTGTACTTTTATTTTCGGTACTTTCGGTGCATCTGCTTCATACCTAAAATTTCAATACACCGAACAAACACTAACACACATAATCCAATAGGGAACAGCTTCCCTGTACTGAAAATTTCTGTTCACCTAACCTGGCCTTTTGCCCTCATACCGAAAATATTGAGCACCGAAAATTTCTGAAATTGGAGTACTATTGGCTCAACGCCAAATTTTTCACTTTGTTAAAATTTATACAAAACTACCTTCACAGCATGATGACGGTGAAGTTTCATGGAGAGGCGAGAAATTCTATCACTTTCATGCCATGTTTTTTTCATACTGACCCAGCTGTTTCTAACGGGTCCAACATCAGCAAAAAAATGTCGCCAGATCTTTTGAAGATAAGGAGGCTCCAAACGCGAATGTCACCCAAGATTCATATCAAGTCTACATAAAATCATTTTGATTCATTTCTCCTGTGCCTGTGGAAAACCTCCAGTACAACAGGTGGCAGTACACACTAGACCCGGGGGGGGGGGGGGGGGCTCCAGTACATGTACAACGACGGACCCACAGCTGTCATCAAACATTTTACAGCATCCAACATCAAGTAAAATTAATATTATCATTAGTGGCCAACGTAGATATACGAAACACAAGTGAAGGAGCAAGGTAACATCCTACTCTGGGTCCGACTCATGAATCCTTGCGAGCAATGCTGTGCGCTAGAAAGTGCAGCTCGGTAAATGTACAGTTTAGGGTCCCAAAATTAGTTCGCACTTTCCCTGTGTTACGTGTGCTGTCACGCGTGCTTTCTGGGTACATGAACCCCAGAAACCTTGCAAACCAACAGTACACAGAACACAGGGAAAGTGCGAACTAATTATTTTGGGACCCTAAACTGTACATTTACCGAGCTGCACTTTCTAGCGCACAGCATTGCTCGCAAGGATTCAGGAGTAGGATGTTACCTTGCTCCTTCACTTGTGTTTCGTATATCTAAATTATTTGGCACCCTAAACTGCACCTTTACCGGCAGCTGATCCCACTAGCGCTAGCGCCTACAACAAAACTCTACTTGAAATAGAGTACATAATGTCATTTCCACTCTAAGCTGTGGCACTCACCTGTAGAGCTTGGCGCCGCTACTGCAGACAACGCTCCGAGGAGGACGAGGTTGACCACGAACATAGCCATTGTTGCGGCCCAACCGACAGAATGCTGAGCGTATCTGTTCTCACAACCCATAGCCATCACGTCGCCTGATTCGACCAAACACTGCACTGAAAAGATCACGTCGCCCAAATAAACAAAGCGGACAGTGGGCCAAAATAGGGCACCTCCTGCACTACCGAAGTTCTCTGATCGGACTAAACTTGAGTATGTGGGTCGATACTTTATATGTGACAGTTCCAACTAGACAGCGCTGAACGTGAAGCAAGTCAGAAACTGAGAAAGCACACAGCGCGCCCAGCGGCAACAAAGAGGGGTTTGCGCGAGTTCGCCGAAACTGATCGATCAGCTGAGGTGAGAGCAGCAGCTCGAGGCGGATGACAACTGATAAGACCTCTTGACTAGCGTGCTTTTGACTTCCACCCAGCATGCATGTGTTCGCACGCTGGACATCGATGACCAAGGCTGCAGAGCGCTGCCTGCGATGCAGCATTGCAGGTACAAAAAAACAGCGCCCGCTCCGAAGCATCTAGATCTGGTCTTCAGGATCTATCCAAAGCTCGCAAATAATGATCTGGTCTGGCGGGTGACAATGCCCTTCGCCCAAACTGTGACAACATCACTGTTCGCAGTTTTGCGCCTTATACGGGTGAATCATGTGGACTACCACCAGCGAGGCAAGTCCGATATCGATCGACTATCGTAATTTGTACGTGTCAGATGGCCTCCAGCTGCTGCCAACCAGGCGAAAGCACGCAAAGTACGGAATGTGAGGTGCTCGCAAGTTAGAATACATACGCCCAGACCCCTCTCAGACGAAGATCATGTTCGGCCAGACCGACAAGGCAGCAATCTTGGTCACCAACTGACCAAGTTCAATAGTGGCTTATTGTTCCCCGGTACTGTGAGTGTGAGCTGTCTGAGGTCACTACAGGTGTCTGCTGCGTCATCGCTGCTCGTGATTCCAAAACATGTCATACATGTAGGTCACCACCGAGTTCACGAATTATTTCAGCGCAACGAGCGCACTGGGCGCAGTCACCCTCACTGCTATTAGTATTACTGTACTGGCTACCCACTTATGACGCTGATTACACTTTAAGAGAGTACAGCATCATCACCGTCAACAAATACCTTTCCACTCGTAATCACTAATCACCCGCGTAGATACATAACACGTACATGTCGCTTGTAGATACAGCATCCGCAATCTATGTAAGTATGTTATAATTATTATTATGGAATGCCTTCCGTTTGAGGGAGATACAAACGAAAGTAGTTGTCCACGGTAGAACATTATCCATTTTTTCAACTGCATAGTGTTTACCAACCTTTTGCAGTGCCATCCTTGCCTTATCGTAGGCTTTTATTCATTATTTTGTTGCAATCTGCATAAGAATCCTGATCACTGGTCAGAGTGCTATACATGTACATGTACACGACATGTTGAGCTTCAGTACAAACGAAAATCCAGTGGAACTAGGCATAGCCGGGTAATGCTAGTTATTTGCTGCGATAATGCTAAAGGCAATGCTCATAATATGAGGATAATAATAATAATAATAATAATAATTTTAGAATTGCGATCAACAGAACGAGCTGAACCGACATTTCACAAAGGCTTTTATTGTTTTCAAAAAAACGAGTGGATACGAAGGCAGTGAAGAACGTGGAAGAAAGAAAAAATGTGATATGGAAAAAAATGATGAACAAAAATTTGTACTTCGAACTAGTTTTCGCACAACACTCCTCAGGAAGCTACGTTGTACTAATGAAAAACAATCCAGAAAGATACTAATAAAGAGAAATGGAGTGAGAAGAAACAACACCTATGAAAATGATAATCCTAGCACTAAGGTAATAACAGGAAAAACTGCGAAAGCAATTAACGAACTTGTAAGGACTACTAGTATACTGTGACACAAGATATGACACCATGGCCAACCAGAGCCAAACCGACAGAACAAGCTGCCCCTAAAACAATTTCAAACGAATAATGCTGTCCTTCTGGACACACAGATCAGGCTTATGAATACGTTGACAAACAGCTTCTAACACACTCAACTGCAACTTATAACCATGACGAGCACGGCACAAAACAGAAAAAGAAGAATCAGAATACACCTTGCAACAATCAGGACGAGATGCAAGATGCTTATACACTGATGACTTCCTACTAGAAAACACACGCTCGCACCCACTCTTACTCACACAATCATTCTCGCTCTCACACTTCTAGCGTCCCACGCGGGGAAGACCCCGTAAACAACCACTACCTCCGCCAACACAGGACCTAGCGTCCCACTCGGCAAGTCCACCATTGGCTCCCGTGGCCATGACCAAGTCACTCCCTCCACCAGCGGAGGTGGATGTGGCTTCGGCGACGCCACGTGTGTTGCATGCAGACACGTTTGCATCAGCATCGCTTGCTGCATCACCGGCAGAGACGACAAAAATACCTACCTCAATATCAACGAGACCCAGAAGAACAACTGCTAATTACACCATGACCTATTTCAGTACGGAAGTACCGAGCCAACGTAATACACAACAGGAACGTGAGACGAGGGATGGGAGGAGACGGGACCTGATTGCTCCGAGGCAGGACGTCGTTGAGGAGGATTCGGCCAGTGAGTCCAGTGATTCCGGTGAGTGTGAGAGCGAGAATGATTGTGTGAGTAAGAGTGGGTGCGAGCGTGTGTTTTCTAGTAGGAAGTCATCAGTGTATAAGCATCTTGCATCTCGTCCTGATTGTTGCAAGGTGTATTCTGATTCTTCTTTTTCTGTTTTGTGCCGTGCTCGTCATGGTTATAAGTTGCAGTTGAGTGTGTTAGAAGCTGTTTGTCAACGTATTCATAAGCCTGATCTGTGTGTCCAGAAGGACAGCATTATTCGTTTGAAATTGTTTTAGGGGCAGCTTGTTCTGTCGGTTTGGCTCTGGTTGGCCATGGTGTCATATCTTGTGTCACAGTATACTAGTAGTCCTTACAAGTTCGTTAATTGCTTTCGCAGTTTTTCCTGTTATTACCTTAGTGCTAGGATTATCATTTTCATAGGTGTTGTTTCTTCTCACTCCATTTCTCTTTATTAGTATCTTTCTGGATTGTTTTTCATTAGTACAACGTAGCTTCCTGAGGAGTGTTGTGCGAAAACTAGTTCGAAGTACAAATTTTTGTTCATCATTTTTTTCCATATCACATTTTTTCTTTCTTCCACGTTCTTCACTGCCTTCGTATCCACTCGTTTTTTTGAAAACAATAAAAGCCTTTGTGAAATGTCGGTTCAGCTCGTTCTGTTGATCGCAATTCTAAAACTATTGTCGCCTCGACGCCTATTTAAATAATAATAATAATAATAATAATAATAATAATAATAATAATAATAATAATAATAATAATAATAATAATAATAATAATAATAATAATAATAATAATAATAATAATAATAATAATAATAATAATAATAATAATAATAATAATAATAATAATAATAATAATAATAATAATAATAATAATAATAATAATAATAATAATAATAATAATAATAATAATAATAATTTGAAACTCGGGTATTGAGCCAATAATAAAAGGAGAAAGAGAAAAGGACATATGGAAACGAGTTAAGAGTAACTCTCCACCACTGTAACTAGATACTATATACAGTCAGAAAGTGCAACAACTAGGCACAAAACTGACAGAGTACTGAGACATTCGACGTCCTGACACCTGAATGTCTCAGTACTCTGTCAGTTTTGTGCCTAGTTGTTGCACTTTCTGACTGTATATAGTATCTAGTTACAGTGGTGGAGAGTTACTCTTAACTCGTTTCCATATGTCCTTTTCTCTTTCTCCTAATAATAATAATAATAATAATAATAATAATAATAATTTTGGAAAGGTTTGGGAGAACTTCAATTTCAAAGGATCAGTCGGGGAAGTGAACTGCCTGAAAAGAGAAAAAAACGCCAGACCCACCAGGACTCGAACCTGGGACCCTGCTTGTCATGAGCAATGCTCTAACCACTGAGCTATAGGACCAGGCTGAACCTAGAAGGCGCTGACAAGTTTTTCACTCCAAAGGCAGCTCACAACACGTGCCACACATACTGATGGCACTCTAGGTTCAGCCTGGTCCTATAGCTCAGTGGTTAGAGCATTGCTCATGACAAGCAGGGTCCCAGGTTCGAGTCCTGGTGGGTCTGGCGTTTTTTTCTCTTTTCAGGCAGTTCACTTCCCCGACTGATCCTTTGAAATTGAAGTTCTCCCAAACCTTTCCAAAATTTAATCACTTTCTTTCACCTCTGGTAGTTTCCAGAAACTGACCGTGGTTGGTCCCCTGGGGGAGGGAAAAAGACCCAAGTGCCATCAGTATGTGTGGCACGTGTTGTGAGCTGCCTTTGGAGTGAAAAACTTGTCAGCGCCTTCTAGGTTCAGCCTGGTCCTATAGCTCAGTGGTTAGAGCATTGCTCATGACAAGCAGGGTCCCAGGTTCGAGTCCTGGTGGGTCTGGCGTTTTTTTCTCTTTTCAGGCAGTTCACTTCCCCGACTGATCCTTTGAAATAATAATAATAATAATAATAATAATAATAATAATAATAATAATAATAATAATAATAATAATTCAAAGGATCAGTCGGGGAAGTGAACTGCCTGAAAAGAGAAAAAAAAACGCCAGACCCACCAGGACTCGAACCTGGGACCCTCCTTGTCATGAGCAATGCTCTAACCACTAAGCTATGGGACCAGGCTGAACCTAGAAGGCGCTGACATGTTTTTCACTCCAAAGGCAGCTCACAACACGTGCCACACATACTGATGGCACTTGGGTCTTTTTCCCTCCCCCAGGGGACCAACCACGGTCAGTTTCTGGAAACTACCAGAGGTGAAAGAAAGTGATTAAATTTGGAAAGGATTGGGAGACCTTCAAATTCAAAGGATCAGTCGGGGAAGTGAACTGCCTGAAAAGAGAAAAAAAACGCCAGACCCACCAGGACTCGAACCTGGGACCCTCCTTGTCATGAGCAATGCTCTAACCACTGAGCTATGGGACCAGGCTGAACCTAGAAGGCGCTGACATGTTTTTCACTCCAAAGGCAGCTCACAACACGTGCCACACATACTGATGGCACTTGGGTCTTTTTCCCTCCCCCAGGGGACCAACCACGGTCAGTTTCTGGAAACTACCAGAGGTGAAAGAAAGTGATTAAATTTGGAAAGGATTGGGAGAACTTCAAATTCAAAGGATCAGTCGGGGAAGTGAACTGCCTGAAAAGAGAAAAAAACGCCAGACCCACCAGGACTCGAACCTGGGACCCTCCTTGTCATGAGCAATGCTCTAACCACGTTTTTTTCTCTTTTCAGGCAGTTCACTTCCCCGACTGATCCTTTGAATTTGAAGTTCTCCCAATCCTTTCCAAATAATAATAATAATAATAATAATAATAATAATAATAATAATACGAAGTAGTGGTTGCGACTTCGGCGATGATTTGTAAGAAATGGTTTGCTCCCCACACCGGAGCTCGCGCTATTCCGCCGACTTTACTTGACACTTGACTGACTCACGACTGCCATCCAGAGCACACGAGAAGTCCATCGAACCTTCGACTCGGCAAACCTGCAAGAAAGCACCACTCCCTGCTCAATACACAGTGTTTCGGGGAATTCACC